CCCTCTCCTGTACCATTACTCCACCACCCGAGGTGGAACAACACAAACGGCACAACTTGCTCTCCACGTCGATCAATTCCAACCGTGCTGAGTTTCGATAATTGCTTTCTCTTTTCCCCTTCTTATCTCTGTCTTTCTTTTCGAGCAAGTAAGAAAATCGAGAAATTCAATGATGATAGATTCAGCATCAGACTAATCCCCAATACGATACTGCAGCCGTCACAGTAACACCAAATTCTTAAGGTTGTGTAGCAATCGTTAAAATAACACCGGAACCTTATTTTTTTGGGAATATTGAACTCAGTTGTTAATTCATAGTATGGTTCTCCCGTTATGAACCCTATAACGACGGCCGACCAATGAGGATCTCAAAATAAGACAAACTGTATTTAATCAAATGGATGCAACCGGGAAGAATGTGCTCGGGAGCGAAAACCAGATTGTGGCGCAGTACTACACTGTCGCCACAGCACAACACCGGGAAACAATATCAGACTGACGTCATTTCCAGCCCAATCACTTTTATACCCCGAAGTGGACACGAGTCATAAGACGGGACATTTGCATATCACACGGGAGCGTTATGCAACTGAGATATCCGGAAGAGGGGGGTCGCGCGTCTTCACTCTTTGCCCATAATAGCTGTCGCATCTACAATTTTGCAACAAAGCCATTGGCTTATGTCGGTTGTTTTGACCCGTTTTGCTTCGCATTATAATCAATCTGCCGGTGTTCCTGGGGTTTTTTTTTTGCCTCCTGCTGGGATTGCTAGTTCAGCATTCTACCCGATAGAGGCACCTGACAAGGTTTTACCCTTCCGAGATGTCCTTGATGTGTATGCTGACCACGGTGAAGTACCTCATTAACTTGGAGGCCTTTTTTGCCATGAACGTGAAAATAAGTACAGGGCAATTGGAGGAGAAGGGAGGGGGAGCCGTTTCTCCACCAGATTAGTGCTGCGAACCGAAGGCATTTTGCTGATCCTGTTTTTCGGGTACTAGCTTCTCGATAACCCTATAAAAGGCCGTAGTAACGTGATACGCGGACCCCGCCATCGCAGAATCTGGCGATAGCCAGTTTGGCGAAAGAAGTACTAAAAATCAGTTTGTACTCGATTTTGGGTGAAATACATTTGCCCCTGCGATAAGGGTTTCGAAAATCGTTGTCGTCATGATCACCTGATTTTCTGTTATTTCGAAATCGTTGTTATCAGCAAATCCCTCATCCAGTTCCCGAAGGCTTAGTATTATAAATCTACATGACCAAATCATCCTC